CTACTTTAAAGAGTCCTCTCCTGCTGATGTTCAGGTGTATATCAGTATGTAGTGTCTCTACTTTAAAGAGTCCTCTCCTGCTGGTGTCCAGGTGTATATCAGTATGTAGTGTCTCTACTTTAAAGAGTCCTCTCCTGCTGATGTTCAGGTGTATATCAGTATGTAGTGTCTCTACTTTAAAGAGTCCTCTCCTGCTGATGTTCAGGTGTATATCAGTATGTAGTGTCTCTACTTTAAAGAGTCCTCTCCTGCTGGTGTCCAGGTGTATATCAGTATGTAGTGTCTCTCCTGTGACATGTCTCCATGCTTTAGACCCCGTTCACACGAGGACGATACGGGTTGTATCTCCATAGTTTCTCTTGCGTAAAGCCCTTTCGTTTACACGAGGCCGTAACAAAACGATAGAAACGTACCCCGCAAACGATAACGGGTCCCAAGGTGGATAGATCTGCAAACGGAGCGCTCTGGGGGTCAAACGGCTCCGTGTGTACGCCTCTATACGATTATTTTCTGATAATGATGAAATAGCCCCGCCTCCCCCCACCTCTCCTGCTCAGAGACCAGCTGCTGGGCTGTCAGAAGAGGGGGAGGAAAAGAGAGGCTCTGTGTTTTATTCTTATATTATTATATAGAGTCGTTATCAATTTGTTTTAAAGCTCAATAAATAACAAAGAAGACCTCTGACCGGCACTTTTCTAATTTTGTCCGGAAGATTTCAACGGACATTTTGACCGCGAAAAAAATGTTAACGGAAACTCTGCCGCACGGTCCCCTCGTTCCTTGAAGAGGCGGAGAGGTGGGTGTTTGTCATCTGCTGGTGGACTACCGGAGAGAGCAGGAGCACACCATGCTCCGGGGTCTTCTTCGCTGCTTTTGGTGTATTTTGTGGCGGCAGCAGCGCCACTTACAGGCCCGGCATATGTACTACAGCGTTTCCAGCGGTCTCGTGTGAACGGACACGTTAATGAATCGAATGCGTGTGAACGGAAGACATTTTTGAAAACGCATACGTGTGTAAAGTTAACGTGTAAATGGGGTCTGAATGTTCAAAAAGCTCTTTATTTTTCTCCTACTGCCTGTGCTGCAGCTCCTCTTTTCACCCTCTGTCTGAAACCAGAGCTGCTCTGATTGGTTAGCTGGCCGACAATAGGAGCGTGAGTGTTCCATAGTGATGTCACTATGTTGGGGAAGTAAACAAAGGAGTCCAGTGGAGGCTTTTTGTTTAGATGTGACTGAAACTCTTCAGTGAGAGGCTGACAGGATCCCAGTGTTTTGTTTTGATATGAGATTCTTTTCAAGATAACAGCAGTTGGGTAGAGACATTTATAAATAATTATATTTATTATGTATAATTAATGTCTCTGTTGCCCCCGCAGAACAAAGACCCCAAAATGTCGCGCGTGGCTCTGGAGTCTCTGTACCGACTGCTGTGGGTCTACATCATCAGGATCAAGTGTGAGAGCAACACCGTCACACAGAGGTAAACACACACTTTTTGATTTCAACACAATTCAGACCCTTTTTTACTGAAAATCAAACGGTTCAGATTCTGAATTCTGACTTAAAAAATTAAAAAATCTGAATTCTGACTTAAAAAAAAAAAAAATTCAAGTTCTGACTTTTTTCCAAAAAAATCTAAATTCTGACTATTTCCATAAAATTCAGAATTTTTTCAGAAAATCTCTAAATTCTGACTTTTTTTCAGAAAATGTTCAGAATTCTGACCTTTTTCATAAAACCTCAAAATTCTGACTATTTTCATAAAATGTCAAAATTCTGACTTTTTTTTATAAAATTCATAAAACTGACTTTTTCATAAAATTTCAAAATTCTGATTTTTTTTTATAAAATCTCAAAATTCTGACTTTTTCCATAAATTCTCAAAATTCTGACTTTTTCCTAAAATCTCAAAATTTCTGACTTTTCATAAAATCTAAATATTCCGTTTTTTTTCTAGGAAAATCATAAAATGTCTAAATTCTGACTTTTTAGAAAAAAAACAATAAATAGCAAAATAATTGTCTTAATATAATTAATCAAAAAGAGACATTTCTACTAAATTGCAGTAAATGTGTGACGCCTCTCCTCGCGTAGTCCCTGATCTGTCTGTGGTGTAATCCATCCTAAACCTCCCTCTCCTCTCCAGTCGTCTGCTCAGCATCGTCTCGGCTCTGTTCCCCAAAGGCTCTCGCAGCGTCGTTCCCAGAGACACTCCGCTCAACATCTTCGTCAAGATCATCCAGTTCATCGCTCAGGTGAACACTGCACACCGTTTGTGTTTATATATACATATTTATATATTTATATTTCTGTCAGATTCACTTTAAACAGTCAGGAAATCTTGCCGTGACCAATAACAGCAAGGAGCGATTTCTTGGAATTTAATTGATTTTATCTTTTAATTTCACATTCTTACTTTTACTTTTTTTGTTCATACAAATTTTATTTATCTCAAAAAACATTATTATTTTTATTAATGATAAACTTGATTTCCCCAGAGACAAAAACACATTGTGATTTGGATGACTGATATTTAGCAGGGATTTAAATGCAGTGCTATGTTTAATTTGATGTGCTTTAAAAATAATCAGTCCCTTAAGGCAGGGGGGG